CCTTTTATCAGAAGATATAGGAGTGGGTCAGTCATCAAAATGGGGGAGGCGGGTTCCTGACACTTGAGAGTGATGGGAAAACTTTGTACTCGTTGCCTGTAGGATTGGCCTGTCTTGCCATAGCACTGTAGCTTCAGGAGTAGAAAAAGTGGCCCATCTTTTTCTCTCTGTCTTGCTCCTTCTGTGTTCTAGGGCAGGATTTGTGGCAGATTTTCAGAGATTCCTGTGAGTCTAAGGAGCACATTCTGATAATAGACCCACGTACCTGGGCTTTGTTTTTAGGTGATTTGGGGGAGGGTACAATTGTGCTTTAAAAGGGTGATTGGAAGTGTAATTTCTTTGACTTTGGAGTTGGCTGGGCAGCTTGATTTGAACACCTTAGTGTGCCCTCTAGACTTGGCAACTTTTCCCCCACTTCCCCCACCTTTTTTTTTTTTAAGAGGAAGAGTCAGGGTTTTGGTTTGAGAGCTAACGCTGGATTTGGGGCCCTCTGCTTCAGGCCTCTGGTGACCTGGGCTGGCCCTGGAGCTTTCCTCCTTGCCGCCCTTCAGTGCAGCCTCTGGAAATCTTCCTCACTCACCTGGGAGGAGCAGATGCGGACTGAGACCACGCCTCACTCCCAAGTATATGTGGAGAAGACAGAGTAGGGACCCTGAGAAGCCTTATTTCCTCCTAAAGTCTCCCTCAGCTCACTCTTCCCTTGGAATACCAGCAACAGAACTGCATCCTCTTAGCCTAGCTGGAGAACCTTTTATGTACCAGGTGCTATAATGCACGAGATAAAAAGTAAAACATGGTCCCTGTTCTCCAGCAGCTCACAGTTTGTTGGGAGACTTTTAATCACCTTGGAGAAGATACTGTTTGAAGGTACATCCAGCCATATAGGCCCTGGTGAGCATGAAGATAGGGAACTGGTTTTGACGGACAGAGTTGGGGTTACTTGGGGTGGGGAAGGGGAGAGAACACCCAAGAGGACATCACTGATAGATGAGAAGGACCTTGGCTGCTTTTTGTTAAAATGACTTTATTTATATAAACATTTTGGAAAGGGGAATACATTCATATGGTTTAAAAAATGTTAAAAGTATACTCTGAAATTCTCCTTCCCTACCCTTGTTCTCCATCTGTCTCGTTCTTGGAGTCATTCCAGAGTTTCTTTATAACAATACAAGTAAATATGAATATATGTTTTTATTTACTTGTACCCCTCCCCAATTTTTACACGGTGGTAGCACACTCCATACACTATTCTATATACCTTTCTTTTATTTTTATTTTTAATAAAATTTTTTGTTTATTTATTTTTGGCTGCATTGGGTCTTCGTTGCTGCCCGCAGGCTTTCTCTACTTGCGGCGAGCAGGGGCTACTCTTCGTTGTGGTATGCGGGCTTCTCATTGTGGTGGCTTCTCGTTGTGGAGCACGGGCTCTAGGCATGCAGGCTTCAGTAGTTGTGGCGTGAGGGCTCAGAAGTTGTGGCTCGCGGACTCTAGAGCGCAGGCTCAGTAGTTGTGGTGCACGGGCTTAGTTGCTCCGCGGCATGTGGGAACTTCCCGGACCAGGGCTCGAACCTGTGTCCCCTGCATTGGCAGGCAGATTCTTAACCACTGCGCCACCAGGGAAGTCTATACCTTCCTTTTATTACTTAATATCTTAGGGAGATTTTTCCATGTGAGTATGTACCTTCCTCATTCTTTTCTGTGGTCACATAATTCCATTTATGGATGTTCCTTGGTTAATTAGCAAGCTCCCTACTGATGGATTCTGAGGTGTTTGCTTATCTTTTACTATTACAGTCACTGCTACAGTGAATACTCTTATACATAATTATATGTCATTTAGTATGTGTGCTAATGTATATATAAATTCCTAGTAGAGAAATTGCTGCATTAGAGGCTTTATGCATTTGTAATTTTGATATCTTTGCCAAATCACCCTTCATGGCAGTAACAACTTACATAAAAATCAGCAATGCCTGTTTCCTTATAGTTCTACCTAGAGAGTTTTTATCACACTCTTGGATTTTTACCTATTTGATAGGTGTAATACCGGCTTGAGGTGAAGCTTTAATTTCTGTTTTTCTTATTATGAGTGAGGTTCTGCATCTTAGAGTTGAGGCATTGGTATTTACTTTTCTGTGAAACGCCATTCATATCCTCTGTCCATCTTTCTTTGCTGATATTTTACTTGCCAATTTCTAGGAGCTCTTTATCCAGTAGGAAGCTTACCCTTTGTGATATGAGTAGCAGTGAGTTTGTTTGTTTGTTTGTTTTTAACTTATATTGTTTTTGCCATGAGGAATCTTGTTTTTTATCTTGTTGGATATATCAGTGTTTCCTTTATGGCCTTTGCATTATCCTGGCCCACTTTTGATGGCACAGAATCATTCATTCCTCTTCCCACATTGCCTCCTCACTCTTTTTTTTTTTTTTTGTCTGTGCTGCACGGCTTGCAGGATCTCAGTTCCTGGACCAGGGATTGAACCCGGGCCACAGCAGTGAAAGCGCCAAATCCTAAGCACTAGACTACCAGAGAACTCCCCGTTCTCACTCTTTTTCTACTTCAATCCTCGATTGACAACAAAAAGCTGTTCCTTTCTTCTGAAGTCTGCATTCCTGGAACTGTATTCTTTGCCAGTAGTAGGGTAGCTCTTGATAATTTTGTTAGGAGATTTTAGTTGTCTGAAAAGTCCCCCATTTTCTAGGTTACGGGCACTCTAGAAAACAGTTTGGCCATTTCTCATAAAACTAATTGTCATGCAACCCAGCAGTTGCACTGTTGGGCATTTATCCCAGAGAAAGGAAAACCTAACGTTTACGCAAAAACCTGTACGACAGCTGTATAGCAACTTCGTTTGTCATGTCTCCAAACTGGAAACAACCCAAATGGCCTTCAGTGGGTGAATGGTTAACCAAACTCTGGGATGTACATACTGTGGGATACTACTTAGAAATAAAAGGAACAAACTACTGATGCATGCAACAACTTAGATGAATCTCTAAGGTATTGGGTAACATCTTACAGAAAAACCCGATGAACTTTTTGGCCAACCCAATACTATGTTGGGTGAAAAAAATCCCAAAAGGTTTACATGTTAGATTATTCCATTTTTGAACATTTTTGAAATGACAAAATTTTATTTATTTATTTATTTAACTCTCCTTTATTCTTTTTTGTTTTTAATTAAATTTATTTATTTTATTTTTGGCTGCGTTGGGTCTTCATTGCTGCCCATGGGCTTTCTCTAGTTGCAGCGAGCAGGGGCTACTCTTTGTTGTGGTACGCAGGCTTCTCATTGCGGTGGCTTCTCTTGTTGTGGAGCACGGGCTCTAGGCGCGTGGGCTTCAGTAGCTGTGGCTCGTGGGCTCCAGAGCGCAGGCTCAGTAGTTGTGGTGCACGGGCTTAGTTGCTCCGCAGCATGTGGGATCTTCCTGGACCAGGGCTCGAACCCATGTTCCCTGCACTGGCAGGCGGATTCTTAACCACTGTGCCACCAGGGAAGCCCCTGAAATGACAAAATTTTAGAAATGGTGAACAGATTAGTGGAGGATTGGGGAAGGCTTCCCAAGACAGACTTTGATGTGGGCGAGTTCATCCTGATGGTGCGCAGCGCGTGTGCTGTCGTGTTTATTTCGGAGGACCCGTGTTGTGCCATTGGCTCTGGTGTGAGGGTACTGCTCTCAGCGGGGTGGGGAGTGCCTGAGAGCCCCAGGGCCCTGCTAGGGATTCTCTGAAGTCAGAACTGTTTTCACAGTAATACTTAGACATTTGCTAATTGCTCTCACTCTCTTACAAGTGTAAAGTGGAGTTTTTCAGAGGCTGCATGATGTGAAATAGCAACAGATTAAATGCAGAAGCAAGTCTGAGAATGCAGCTGTTTTCTATGACGCCAAGACATTTAAAAGACTTACAAAAATGTAAACGAGTGCCACTCTTCTCACTTTTTTGTTTTGGGGAGTAGAGTTATTTTCTTTAAAATATGTTATTTATGTTAACATGTAATGGGATTATTATTTTTTTTAATGATTTAATAAATATTCAGGAATCTTGTTTTAATTTTTAACAGATGAATATTGATTTAAACTACGTATACAAGTGCTCTTTGGGGGTCCTCAGTAATTTCTAAGAGGGTAGAGGGGTCCTGACACCAGAAAGTTTGTGAACCTTCAGGGTGACAGTAAGCGCTTGACCATACGTCAGGAGGCTTGAGTTCTAGTCAGGACTTTGCTGTGTGACCCTGAGCACGTCATTTAGCCTCTTTCATTGGTATTTTATCTTTTGTAAATGCTAATAATTATCCGGTTCTACACACCTTAAAGAAAGGGAAGATAATTCTGTGTGAAAGACTTTGAAAATATAACGTCCTGTTCAAATTTAAGTGAATTTAATAGTTACACGAGTAAACTGATGTTGAAAGAAAATGTAAAGGTTGAGGCTTATGGTGTGTTAGTGGACATCCTGTTCACCTTTTAAATGTTTTCCTTTTTGCATCTCCTCCTAACAGTTTCTATATATATATATATATATATATATATACATTCTTTCTGTTTCTCAGACAACCATTTTAATTAGTTAAAGGAATTAAGTAGGTACATCTTCCAGATTTTTCAGTCAAGAGGGGGTTTATACTCCTGATGCTTTAAAGTAGTGCCGTAAGGTTAGGTGCTCTGTCTTGGAGAAATCACTTATTATGTGACTTTAGGAAAGTTACTTAACCTCGCGGCGTCTTGGGTTTCTCACCTATAAAATGGGGCTAATAATAATTTACTTTCCTGAGCGATTATCTGAAAAGTAATGCACAGGAGGCACTGTGCCAAGTGCTTGGCACATAAGATGCTCCATAAATGATAGTTGCTGTGATTGTCACAGGTATATGACAAAAGATGCAAGATTAAATTTAAGCCTCTTACCCTGCCTTCAGTGAACTTGTTATTAAGCTACTATTCACAAGCTTATTAGTAATTCCCATTTCATTTGGTTTTATTCTTTTTTTGCTTCCAAGGGCTGTTGAGTGGCCAGACTTCTCCAACAAACGCCAGACTGGAGAAGTTGGATTCTCAGCAGGTGCTGCAGCTCTGCCTCCGTTATCAGGATCACCTCCGTCAGTGTGCAGAGGCTGTTGCTTTTGATCAGAACGCTTTGGTCAAACGAATCAAAGAGGTAACTTATTGTGAGAAAATATCATGGCTGACTCAATCTTGTGCTTCCCTGTGACTCCTGAGTCCTTTTCTCCTGTGGTTTAGAGCCAATGATCCCAACTTTCTGGGAAATAGTCATTTTCTATCTAAATGTCTTGACATCTGTCCCCATTGCTTTGAGAAGATTGTCTTTCCCAGCCGTGGAATGTGATGCTGGAAAAGAGTGGTCCATGGAGTAGACTAATCTGGAGTTTGAATCCTGGTTCACCACTTATTTGCTTGGGAAAGTTACTTCACTTCTCTTGGTCTCAGTTTTCCTCATCTGAAAAATGGGTCTAACCGTAGTAATCGACCCGCAGGGTTGAGTGAATATTAAATTGCTTAGTAAGTGTTAACTGTTATTAGTATGTGTGAAGTCCTGCCGTACTGATTTTCTTTGGCTAACATTAATTGATTTCAACCCTTTCCTGCGTGTAATTTATATTTTGTTTTCCAGTCGGGTATCAGTTCTTTGAGAGCAGGAGTCCTGACTTCTCCCTCAATTATATTTTTCATTGTGTTAGCAGGAAAAGCTCGGTGATTCTTATTGGTTGGATAGAAACAATTATGCCTACTTAACCCACAGCGTTTTTGTGAGGAAAGACAAGATAATTTATGTGAAAGTACTTAGTAAATGAAAGA